AAGAAGAAGAAGAAGAAGAAGAAGAAGAAGAAGAAGAAGAAGAAGAAAAATAAGAAGAAGCAGCAGCAGCAGCAGCTGGCAAGAATCCAGAAAGAAAATAGCTAGGGATAGCTCTGGAGCTTTGAACTTAGAGGTGCCAAAAGACCATCCTGTATGGAACTATTTGCCCCCACCCTAAGTGATAAATCAGTGTGTACAGTTGATGATGCAATTCTCAGTTGACATTATTTCTATCCTAACTGTAATAAGGATGTGCATTGTATACTAGATAAGTATGCAATTAAGAGAACTAAGAATTTGTCCCATCTTCTTTTGAAAATTTCAGATGTAGCTAAGAGGAGAAGGGTTGGCTGCATTGCAATTTCAGACCCAATAGCATAGATATAAAATCACCATGCTGCAAAGCAAAGGTCTTAGCATCTGTTATACACAAGCCGCAGCGCAGACCTTGTGTGGGGCAGGACATACATTAACACCTGGAAACTCTCCATTGTTCTTTTGCAGCCTAACTGTCTTTTTGATAGCTTAAAACAGAGAAATATAGTAATTGGAACCGTCACAAGAAAAGACATATTGGTCTCAATGGGGAAAAAATCTCCCTTTGAAAAATTAAAGCTGCTCCTGACACAGTGGGCTCTCCAGTTGTTTTCATGGGACGTAATAAAGAGCGGAGGGAGTCAGTCATAAGCTTCTGACTCATGTGCTGAAACCCCAGAGAGCAGATTATTAACTAAAAAGGGAATACGTTCTAGTCCCAAAATCTTAAAGGCAAAACAAACAGCAGAACAGAAATGCAACGTTTCCTGATCATTCGCTGTTGAAGTCTGTGCTCTCCATGTGATGTGCAAAGGCAGGTGGGGCTCACTTCCAGGGTCAACACCCTCGGGGAATGTGCTGGATCACCCAAGCACAGCACCCACGGAGCCAAACCAAGTGGACATGACAGCCCGGCAGCGAGATTCCCGTTCAAACACATGGGAGGGTGGGTTTGGGGAAGCAGTCTTTACAATAGGTTACCTACTTTGGGTAGTCAAGGTATATGAAAAGCTCAACAGTCCACTGGAATTGCCCACAGCAGAGATCCCAGCAAGTAAGAACTATGCCAGCTGATGCTCTTCTCTGCTTGGAGGTGGAATTCATGATCTCTGGAGGGAAGGAACAGCACCTGTCAAACAGAATTTTTGCCTGCCTCGCTGCCTGTGGCAAGATCAGGCTCTGGTGAACTATACACTGGCTTTAGGGAAATTTCACTACTTCTACCTCCTGAAAGAATCTAGATGCAATGCCATATTCTTCATGTGAATTCTACTCTTCAACTGTTGTATGCTGACAAGGAGCTATACCCGGGGCCTGTGAGAAGGCACAGAACCCCACTGGAGGTCAGTGCTGATACTATACAACTGGCCCCTTCAGAAGCCTCACCTGCAGAAGACCTTATGAGAAGGAAAAGAACCTTTTCATGTTAAAACTTTCCCCATCTGCACTGAAGGAAACAGGCCCATGGGTACCATTTGTTGTTGCTTAGGAACGCAGTGAGAGTGGAGTACAAATTCCTGTAAATTGTGCATCACATTTCAGAAGAGAAACATCTGATAACAGCACAGTACTAGGGCTGAAACCAAAGCAAAACAGGAGCTTTTCTTTTTCTCAGAGGCTGTGGTTGGGGGTAGGAGGGAGTCTATAGTCTGGTTCAAAATGTTCTTGTATCTTTCTGTGTATGAGAAAGAATTATTGAAGACATTTCTATACTGTGTTCTAATTAGAGCAATCTTTGATTGTCTTTTCCTTATAACACTTTAATGAAATTCTTTAAAACTGTAGTCTTCACAACGTACATAAACACTGTTTAGTGGGTTACTGCTTAAGAAGGGATCTCCCCAGCCTTTCAGTTCTGTGAATCCTATGTCTATGTGGAAGAGGTTTTTTTAATTGTCTGCATTTGGCCCCTTATTTAAATCAGCCCAATGCACACATGAGCAAGCATGTATCTAGAAACAACTTTAAGATCAAGCTGAAGCACAAGCAAAACAACATACTTGTCTTTTTCTTTCTAAGTCCAGGTTCTTGCTGTGGGGCTCCTTGTCACTACACGTTCACTAAGATACGGGAAGACCGAGCCTGTGATTTATACAGGTTAAGTTAGCTTCCCATCCCCGATGCCCAACCTAATCGAGGGCCTGACATACATGAAACTTGTCATCTTGTCTGCTGGAAACCCAGCCCTAGAACAGTTTTTCACCTGCTTAGCCGTTAAGTGCACGTGTTTGAATTAAGCTGAAACTAACGAAAGACACACTACATAGAGATCTGAGCTCGCTCAATGGTCTCACTGAGTCGTCTGAGGGGCCAGGGTGATCAGATTAGAAGGTCACTGCTATACCTGAAAAGGGTAATATATCCGATTACCTTAAAAAGGCGGAGCAGAATCTTTGACTCCCAAGAAACCTCTGGGGTGAGGGAGGGACTTCATACTTGTATACAACAAAGACAGTGTTGTTTTCCTGTACAAATGCACCTGCTTTGCTAACCTGCTCCGTGACACAGAAGTGAGGTGATGCACCATGTGGGAGCCCCCTGCAGTGACAACTCAAAGACCCACCCACGCAAGGACAAGAAGAGGAAAAATAAAAAAAAGAATGGCAAGAGTTGGGTTTGCTCCCCCCCACCCCGGTCTGTGGATTCCTGTTATGTGATAGCTAACTGTGGCCTATGGAGTTTAAACAACATGACATGCACCAGTTCAATCAAGGGTTGTTAAAAGGAACAATCTGCTCTTTTTAGAAAGCACAACTAAAAGAATAGGACACACAGAAGAAATGTTTTCAGTGGATACTAAATAGCAACAAAAACTCCAACACAGCAAAGAGAACAGAGAGAACTAAAGACTTGTATGAAGTTCCAGAAACAGCACATGACCCAAAACTCTAAGACCAATAACACGAGGGTTTTGTTTTGTTTTTTTTTTTGTACAAAATAAATTATTGAAAGTGGTCATGGGATTCCTAGCAGTCAGAGATACACAGTTTCCCAAGGAAAGCTCATCAGGGAATGTGTTATTTAAGACTGGATCATCATAATGCTATTTTTAATCCCATCATTTTGCTGCCAAAATTGGCCATGGCAGTCGATACTGGCCACTAGAAAAATGGTGTTCTTTCATGTCGTTCACCCACTGTCATGAGAATGGTAATGCTTTCAGTCAGTCAAATGTTTGGGTGGATGTGAACTGTGTTCAGAAAGGGGAAACTTCTTACTAACTACCTAATAAAAAGGAAGCTGATATCTACTGGGTACATAGAAATGAGTTTCCCTTTAGTGGACAAAGAAAAGCTACCTCACTTTAACGAGGCCAATGCAAATGCAAAAGCCAACGCAAACTCATAATCACCATAATGAACATTCTTGACAGCAGCAAAGCTGCGATTATTTAACTTCTCTCTCTCCCCCCCCCCCTTCATTCTCTGCTTCTTCTGGGGGTCAGATTGCTGCAGTGGACATCCGGGAAACAAGATTCCAAGCAACATTCTGCATGTGGATCACTGGAAAGAGGTCTACAGAATCTGTCACAAGATTGATCCTTCAAAAAACAAAACAAAACAAAAACAAAGAAACAAAAAACCCACCCACATCTGGAAAGTGTCAGGCATGGCAGCCAGGAGCTCTGACTTCAATGCACAGAGAAACCTAAGGTTCTGACTCAGTGGCACTAGGCTGGAGCCTGAGAGTCTCCACCCAGGAAGGTCCCAGGTGACACCCAGGCTACTGATCGGTAGGGTCTCATTTCCTAGAATAGCTGCCAGCACCTTTTTCTAACTTTCAAGACTTATTGAGACTTGGGTATAAGCCATATTCTGCCTTATAACCAATTATTTCTTTACTCTTTACTTAATTTGCAGGTTCTGGGATTCTCTAGCAGGAGCTGGTCCTTCCAAGGACTGTTTTCTCTGTAATGAACCATGGAACACAGTCTTCCCCGGCGTTGGAGCACTCTGCCTTTGAAGCAGAAGACAAAATGTCTGTAAATGACCATGGGAAGTTGTTCCCATCATTCTCATCATTTTTCTCACATCAAGAAAATAGGCTGTCTGCTGAAACTTAGTTATTGTTATTAAAACATCACTGCAATGTGCAACATACTAGAGATACAATCCTAATGTGAGGTTAAAGGGAAATCTATACGCTAAATGCCTAAAACAAAAATTTAAATTAATAAGACACATTTGAAACCATAGGCTGATAGACCAATCACTACAAACTCTCAAATGCTACCACTTTTATTCCAAAATGTTTACATATGATTCTATTTTCTGATACATAGTCTTTTCTTGCCAATTCCGTTCTTTTCCGGCATAGTCATCCATTTATGTATTGCTCTGGAAACTATTAGACATTTTCTTTTACCATCAGCCATTTGTGGTTCTCTGTGACTTATGTTTGCTATAAGAGGCTTTGTCAAAAAAAGTTTTTATCATCTCTTCCAGTATGCCATTGTGGTTTGGCTTCATAACATGAAGTCTATGCATTTATCAACCTCAGATACCTGCGGACCACAAAGATAGGCCTTCAACAAAAACTTGATGACTAACACAGAAAAAAGAGATGCTTCATTTAAAAAGAAACCTCAGTCGTCTGCCTCGTCAACACACTGCAACCTGACAACAGAGGTCAGGCTGCATCTGAAGCTCCCCCAGAAACAGGCGGTCCTGCTTCCCACATCTTTCTTAGCCTGACAGTCAAGACCACACACTTACTGCCTTGAGTTTCCTTCAAGAAGAGAGAAACAGATTGATTTTTTTTCATAAAAAACATGAAATAACAAAACCATTAAATTGTTTTACTTTGGCTTTAGAACACTTCTTCTGGAGCCTGAAGTCCCCATTATGGAGGCTGAACTAGCGGTCCACCTACTAAACTAAACATCTGACAAGCTCAGTTTCCATCCTTCAGCCAATTCTTCCAGCATCGCTAACAATCTGATCATGTGGGATGTCAACAAACGAGCAATTCACAAAGAACATGTGAATTTCAGGCATGCAAACTTGGATATTTCAGTTAATTTTACTTTTAAGTTTTGAACCGTGCCAACAATATTTTGTCAACTTTGGCCAAATAAGATCAGATGTTCACATCAATCATCTATTTTTCTTGGCTTTTCTGTTTGGGGCCCATAAATATTAGCACATCTTGCAAACTGTAGTAAAACATAATGTGTTTCTAGATATTTGATTCACTTGTAGTCAATTATAGACTTTTTGTTCCTTTTAGGTGCTATAAAAATTTAGTCGTTCTCTTGAGACTATCCAAGGCAAGACTAAAATGAAAATCTTTTTCATTAAAACAAAGTCTTTTTTTAAAAAAATGTCAGACCGTGATTACTTATTTTTGTGTGTGTGTAACTTAATTATTTTAGGTATAACAAGCCTGAGTCTGCTCCCAACCTCCCTGCCTGGAACCAGCAAAAAGCTTAAATCTCATGGTAAAATAATGGAAGTTTGATTTCCCAAGATATCAGAAAATTATCACTCCATAGATGTTCATCAAAGCTATGGATACTAATAATTTCAACTTAAGTCAGGGCCAGACACTCCACAGCTAAGTGTTATTATTTCTTCCGCAGACACCCTAGATGCAAGTCCATTCAGCAGTGGAGATCACCAAATTACATAGGTTGTATGTAGAGATAAGTAAAGGATATTAAAGTGGATGTAAGCTTCCGAATCATGTGTGAGTTACAGCGCGCAGTCTGGAGCCCCTGCAGACTAGCCGACGGAACACGGCACCCACTGCCTGTCTGTCCTGCAGGGTGCACACACACCATGCCCAGTGGGACTCTGGCACAGACTGGAGTCTACAAACATCCATGCATGCCAGCTTACCTTTTTACAAGCTTAGCTATAATTTCCAGGAAAGGGGGCTGTATTGTTTTTCTTTGGGAAAATGTTCCCAAGCGAGTCAGAAAAGGTATGCCTGCGTCCTCTGGTGGAGCCTGTTTGACTAGTTGGACCCTCTCAGTCATTAGTTTGCCAGAGGAGCCAAGGATACACAGGTCAAGAGAGAAGGCTGGAGGTCTGGTTCCTACACAGGACCCCACACATCTGTAACAGGCTACTCTGACTTTAAGTAACGCTGGGAGTCAGTGACGGGGTACTGCTTATCTCCAAATCCTACTGGATCAAAAAAGCTGGATCTTTGCTCCTTCACAGCCTGCAGGCAGGAGCTAGCATAGTGTTGGCAGGCTGTGATCTAACCAGAGGCAGGGACTCGGGGAGCAAAGCTACAAACTTGATTTTAGTTCATTGGCTCAGTGGCTTACTTTGACCCAGGATCCACTCACACCCCAACCTCTGCATCTCAGTCTTGAGAGCAAAGCCCAGACTGATTCAGCCAGACATGCACCTACCCAGCCTCCGTTATCCTGGATCCAGTTGTGCAGATGCCGGTTCAGGTACTCAGTCATCCACAGGGCGATGTTGTCCACCAGGGGTGACATCTCCCTGTTGACGCTCTCCACACACATGACCCCACCGAACTCAAAGAAGGCCACAATCCTCCCCCAGTTCACCCCATCCCTGAAGAGTTCCTCCACCACCGTAGCAAAGCGTCCCCTCGCGGTGAAGGGCGTCAGGTGCAGCTGACTGGACATCTCCGCGAAGTCGCGACGGTAGCGACGGGAGAAGTCATCCCCAGCCCGGCGGAGGGTCAGGTGGACCACAGGTGGCACCGGGCTGAGCGCAGGCCCAGCAGTGGCGACTATGGGCCTTAGTGGCGACGTCCTGGCAGCCGTGTCCCGGTGCACAGCGGGCGATGGGTTGCTCTCAGGCTGAAAGGAGAAGATGCCAGCGGTGGGGGCGGCCCCCCGGGGCACGGCGTCCACATCTCCCGCATCCCACTCGTAGCCCCTCTGTGACAGTTTATAATGGATATACTTCATCACGATCTCCCGGTTATCATACCCTGTTCTCCCGGCTTGCGCCATCCTTCCCCCAAAAAAGCTGCAGGTACCAACAGCACTTCTCGTCCCGACTCCCGCCCCACGGCCCCAAAAGAAAAAAAGAAAAGAAAAAAAATGATCGTTATAATCCAGTTCTTTTATTGGATGTGCTTTTGCATTCCTGGATGAGGGGGTGTCTTCAGTCACGCGGAACACTTGACTCTGGTGTTTCCCCCTTGGCATGAGATGCAGGAAATTTTTATTCAAATTCCTTTTGGCTCTTTATTTCATGAGGCACATTATTTATTAAGCTGCGTTAATATCCTTCTACTTCCTCCGCAATGCTGAAAGGTGAGGGGCGGGACGACCTAGCAAGTTAAAATCAGGTGTGTTCTTCTTTATATTCTCAGGGGAGGAAGGGCATATCCGCTACAAGTTACACGCTAAAGAGAACGAACTAAACTGTCTGGAAACTGAATTTGTTCGAATGCATTTAAAGTAAAAAAAAGAAAAAGAAAGAAAAGAAAAATTGAAATGCGTCCGTTGAAAGTTACATTAAACCAAATTCCTGTGCAAAAAACTTACTGTATTTTTTAAGGACGGCATGATCTTCTGTCAAGTTTCTCTCTTTTTTGGTAAAACCCAAATACATAAGGCAACGACACCATTGATCTTCAAAAGTCTCCTTGCATAAGCGTCTTTGAAACTTGCAATGAATCAGTAGTTGGAGGTGGGGGGCTAGGTGGAGTAAAAATCAAGAGGGTTTCCAGATTGCGTCCCCACACTTCGGCTTCACTGAAAATGTTAACCCGTAGGAATTCCAATCGGAGATTTCAAGAGCACGACAGCGTTGCCAAAAAAGCAGCAGCGGCGGCAGATGAATTACAATTTTCAGTCCAGCATTTGCAGAAGTCCTGTGATTTCCCCCTCTTCTCGGCAATTTACACTCGCACACACACGCTCGAGCGCAGGCATGGACCGGTAGCCACCGGATTGCTTCAGCCCTCCACGACAGAAACACGCGAGGGAGACGGACGACGGAAGAGCGGGGGAAACGGGGACGAGAATCCTCTTCTGATTAAACTCCGAAAGGCCAATACGTTTTCCGAAAAATGGGGTGGGGGGTGGGAGCAG